ACAGCTACGAAATCACAAATTTGAGTACTCTTCTCTTCAATACACATTACACTTAACACACATTAAAATCTTTAAATGCTCCCCATGAACCAGCTAAAATCATCTTGTACACCACCAGGAATAGGCGGACGGACGTGGATCTGGCCCAACCCCCTTACTCTGCAGATGGGAATCTGAGGCCCACGGAGAGGCCATCACTCCCACAAGGTCACACAACGAATTAGCCCTCGGTCAGCAGCTGTGACCGGGGCTCCCAGCTCCCAGGCCAGGGCTCTCCCTTCACTGCAGCCGCCCTCCCTCGCCCAGAACAAGACTTTTATAGCCCGGCTTGGCAAGCAATTTCAATTTAACAACTGTTGTAACCAGGAAGTCCTTCCTGAGTGCTAGCTTGCATTCCCTTCTCCTGTGCTAACCTCTTTCCACAGGTTTTCCTTGCAGAGGGGAAGCCACTAAGAAACCAGTGGTAGGGCATGGCCCTCTTGCCTGGTTGGGGGTTTGGGGACAGGTGACAGGGGAGGAACCGAAGGAGGAGGGGCTCCAGGCCTCACTCCCTGCCAGCCTCGCTCCTCTCCACCCCCCTGCAGCCCACAGAAAGGGCAGGGATTTGGGGGGCTCTGCTCCATTGGGCCCCTCCCTAGCAAGCAACCAGGTGGAGAAGAAGGGCTTGTACAGTTTCCCAGGGTTACAAACTGGGTAGCTTAAACAGAAACTTACTCTCCCACCATTCTGGAGGCCAAAGGACTGAAACCAAGGTGTTCGCCGAGACAGGTTCCCTCCAACGACTCCTTCCTTCCCTCCTCCAGCTCCTGGCGGTTCCTGCTGTCCCTAGGCTTGTCTGCCATTGTCCCCACACTGCCTTCCCACTGTGTGTCTGTGTCTTCCCTTCCATCTCAAATTTCCCTCTATCTTTCTCTTACAAAGACACTTGTCACTGGATTTGGGGCACACCCACGTAATTTATTGATAGGATGATTTCATCTCAAGATCCTGAACTGAATTATATCTGCAAACACCCTTTTCCCAAATAAGGTTACATTCCCAGGTTCTAAGATACGGACATAGCTTTTTTTTTTTTTTTTTTTTGAGACAGAGTCTCGCTTTCTTGCCTAGGCTAGAGTGAGTGCCATGGTGTCAGCCTAGCTCACAGCAACCTCAAACTCCTGGGCTCAAGCGATCCTCCTGCCTCAGCCTCCCGAGTAGCTGGGACTACAGGCATGTGCCACCATGCCCGGCTAATTTTTTCTCTATATATTAGTTGGCCAATTAATTTTTTTCTATTTATAGTAGAGACGGGGTCTCGCTCTTGCTCAGGCTGGTTTTGAACTCCTGACCTTGAGCAATCCGCCCGCCTCAGCCTCCCAGAGTGCTAGGATTACAGGCGTGAGCCACCGCGCCCGGCCTCGGACATAGCTTTTTGACGGGGCCGCCATTCAACCCACGACAGAGCTCACAGGTCAGAGTCAGAAATCCTCATCCTTCTGCTAACTGGCCACTACACATCACGGTGACCCCAAGCACCATGCCTGGTGCTCTTTCCCATCTGGAAAGTGGCAATAGACCCCACCTGCTGCACCTCTCCTATGGAGGTCAGAAGCACAGGCTGTTGATACTCAGATCACACCCAGTTCTCCAACATGACATCTGCGTGTCAGTTCCCAAACTGGAGACACAATTTAAGGGGGGAAATTATCATGGACCACCCCACAAGTGTGTGACTCCCTAACTCAAGAAACTCAAATCTGATTCTACAGAAACTTCTTCGAGTTACAAAGTTAACTGCAAAGAAACCGTGCCTTTAGAGCAGATAAAAGAATGTTCTAAAGATAACCAAAAGGAAAGCAAAATACTAGAACTCATGGACTCCCTTCTGGGTCCTTTGCAGAAGCCAGCCTCCCAGCGCCTCCCACACCCGCAGGCTGGTGGTCTCACACATCCCCGCCAGCCCTTCCTGCCCCAGCCTGAGCCCCATCACCTGCCCGGCATCCCCTGCTAAGCCCCTGGCTGCATCGTTCTCTCCCTTTCTGGGCCTCTCCCAACTGTGTTTGCTAACTTTCCCCAGCTCAGAGAGACTGCCCAGATTGTCAGGGAGGTCAGAAGCTTATGCACATCATTCGGAATTCAACTGCAGAGATAACTGGCTTGGAAACCCGGCCAGTCCCGTCAGAATTCCCTTAATATCACCGTGAGCTGTGGTTCCCACTCCAGCTGCACGTTACACTCACCTGGGGAAGTTTAAAAACGACAGGTGCTGGGCCCCACCCCAGACCTACTGCATCACAAGCTCTCGGGATGTATGTCCTCGTGAAACCCTCCCAAGGCAGGAGGCCTCGAGCTAGGACGTTGAGGACCACTGCCCTAGAAGCTCTTGTCTTTTGACCCAGGAAAGTGACCTAGTCTCAGAATCCTATGCCAACCTCAAAAGCTGGCACCCCACCCAATGCACCCAGGGGACTGTCCCAATCTGTCATAGCACGGGCCAGGGCTGGCTTCAGTCATCCAATATGGTATCTATCCCTGCACCCAGCATGGTACCCGGTACTCAGTAAATGCACAGAAATGACCACCGTGACCCCAGGCACCCTGCGGTCTCCCCGCACCGCTCCCTGCACAGCCAGGCGGGCGGCACAGACAGCCCTCTGGTAGGGGACGGGAAACGGCCGGAGGAGGCTGCATGACGGGGTCACAGGCCACATCCTGGAAAGGACTTCCAGTGGCTCTGGGAGTTGGTGGTTCCGGCTTTCCCAGGCAGGAAGCAGGAGGGCTCTGAGCAGAAAAAATAAGCCAGACTGGGCCAAAGTTGTTTTCCTTCTACCCTCCAGGAAAACATTTGCTTCCCTGCAGGCCAAGATGCAGATGCCTCCCTTGGCAAGAAAGTCCCTTTTGGGAAAAGTTACAACCCAGCAGGCACGTTTTTCCACAGTGAAACAGCTCTTGTCCCAGGGACAGACACAAATGTTGGGTCTCAAATAAGTCACTTCCCCTCTCAGGGCCTCAGTCTCCTCCTCTGTAAAATGGGACAAGAGCCCCCGTCCTGCCCAGGTCACAGAGTCATTCTGAGAATCCAGAGTGTAAAGCAAAGTGGGGAGAGACAAGCACCAGGTGGCGTCTCCCGCCAGCATCAGATTAACGGTTATCTAAGACATGCCCCTTAAAGAGCTATGGAGACTTTGCCCCAACCAAGCTTCACCCTGTGGGAGGCACAACAGTTATCCCTTTCAATAAACCAAGGCAGGGGCTGGGTACGGTGGCTCACACCTGTAATCCTAACACTGTGGGAGGCTGAGGTGGGCGGATTGCTCAAGGTCAGGAGTTCGAAACCAGCCTGAGCAAGAGTGAGACCCCATCTCTACTAAAAATAGAAAGAAATTAATTAGCCAACTAAAAATATATAGAAAAAATTAGCCGGGCATGGTGGCACATGCCTGTAGTCCCAGCTACTCGGGAGGCTGAGGCAGTAGGATTGCTTGAGCCCAGGAGTTTGAGGTTGCTGTGAGCTAGGCTGATGCCATCGCACTCACTCTAGCCTGGGCAACAAAGTGAGACTCTGTCTCAAAAAAATAAAAAAATAAACCAAGGCGCAAAGAGTTGTCCCTGACCTGTCATGCAGCTAATGGGACCTGCTCCTCACTCCTCCACCAAGAAGCACTCATCCTCTGAAGCCAGTGAGCTGGGCCCTGCGGGGCCTCCAGACCTGGCCTTCTCAGAGGCCATTTCCAGCGTCAACATTCAGGCCCAAGAAACGGCCCATTTGTGCCTCAGTGACCCAGCCTCGCTCTCCCGAGCCGCATCTCCACTCCTCCCTGCCAGGGAAGCCTTCAAACTCCTCCCGAGGACTCCTCCGCAGCCTGGTCAGGCAGCCCAGCTCAGCGTCCATCTCCCTCACGAGCTGGCCCTCTGGGTGGGGAAGACATCACCTTATGCTTCTTCCTCTCGCCTCCCCCTCTCCCAGGGCCCCAACTTGGAGCTGAGAAAATGCAACCTGTTCAGGGACCAGCTCTCAGAGCCTTGCAGGGCACTCCTCGGGCAGCCTGCCTGGCCCAGTGTGCACGCCCAAGGGGTCAGAGCTGTCGACCTGAGGACCGGCCATGGCCAACTGCTCTAGGCAGGCTGAGCACGTGCAGAGGATAGCAGTCTCCTCCGACAAGACTGACCCAGACGTTCTCATCACATCCTAGATGCCCAGCCACCCTGGGCAAGGTGAGCCCCCTCCCTGTAAGTCTGCACCCTCCCTGGGCAAGGAGCCTGTGCACCTCTCATCTCATGGAGCCTCCCACGGCCCTCTGCGGCATCCACGGATGAAGAGTCTGGGAGGCTCAGAGAGTTGGTCCTTTACCCAGGGTCGCACAGAGGAGCCGGCAGGTGATCTAGGTCTAGGACCAGGTAGCACGACCACCAGGTCCTGACGATTAAACATCTCTTCCCGTCACTCTGACCCCAAACTCCTTACACAACCAGGCCCCTGCCACCCCCTCCACCCACAGCTTGGTCCTTCTGGGGCTTCCACATCGGCTCCATCCATGCTTGCCCACCTGCCTCAGGGCCTTTGCACTTACTGCTCCCTTGGCCTGGAATGCTCTCTCCAGGACTTTTTCTATAGCTGGCTCCTTCTCCCTCTTTGAGCCCCAGCTGAAATGTCAGCTCCTCATAAAGGCCCTCCGTGACCACATCACCTAAAGCAGGAACGGCCATCCCTCCCCACTTACTCCTCGATGTTCCCCTTAGCTCCTACCACGAGCGATATTTATTTACTGGTTTGTCTATCTTCCAAGGCCTGCACTAGGCCTGTCTTGTTCACAGCCGTTTACCTGGCATACAGTAGGCGTACACAATGCCTGGCATACAGTAGGCATCAAATAGCTAATTATTGACTGAATGAACAAACAAACCATCCTCACCCCAGAGAGAATGGCTGGCTAAGTCGAATCAAACCATTCACATCCCAAAATTCTCTCTGGGAAAAGTTGGGGTTTTTTTCCCCTCAACCCCCTGTCCTGGCTTACCCAGAAGACACCTCTCCCCTCTGTGTGTGGAGTCAGCTGGTACAGAAATTTCCTTATCAGTCCCTTATCTGGTTTGCTCTGAGCCCCACCCCAGGGTGGCATTATGAGTCACCCAAGAAGAAGGGCGCAGGCGGGCAAGGTGCGCGGGAGGGCGAGTGGTTATTCCGGCTCCCCCAGGATCCCAGCCACCAAAGGTGGCAAGGTCCGGTCCTACGACCTAACGCAGCCCTCCCTCACAGGAAGGGACAGGACCATGCGGGGAAGTGTAGGCCGAGGGTGCAGGACTCTTCCCAGGGCCTTGGTTTGCTGGTCTGTAGAATGAAGCCGTTGGAAGTCTCTCCAAACCCCTTGCAGGGCTGCAGTCCCGACCGTCCAGATTGTAAAGCTGTGTGGCGAGACTGGGGGCGGGGAGAAGCTCCCTGTGCCGCTGGCCCGGGTGACACCGTGAGATCATCCCTGACAGCCCATTAGGCACGGCTGACCACTTCTCCAATATGAAGCCTGCCCCATTTTCAACTTGAGTTTCATTGTTTTCTCTCTGAAATGCTTGCCTAGAACAAGAAAACGGTGCTGCCCGATGAATCAAGCATAAAAAGAAAAAAAAAAGGAAATAAAACATCTACGTATACGTCGTACAAAGGGATATCTGGACGATGTGTACCAACGCCTAACAGTGGTTCTCCCCGGACGGTAGAATCCAAGATGACTTTTACTGTCTTCATTGTACTTTTCTGAATTGCTTGATTTTTTTTTTTTTAAATTGTGTGCACATATTATTTTCACAAATACAATAAAACTCTTTTCAAAAATCTCCTGCCGGAAATTGGATCCACTTTCTTTTCTGTCTGGCTTCACCTAATGCTTACGAGGGAGGCCAGGTACCGGCCCCTCTCAGAAAGGCGTCTTCCAGCCTCACCCTGACGCCAGGGAGGAATACACAGGGGACCCCACGAAGCAACAGAGTCAGGCAGGCTGGGTCTGCTCTTGGACTGTCACTAACGTGCCACGGGCCCTCAGGCAACTCGCTTCTCTCCAGGCCTCTGCTTTCTGCTAAGTAAACTTAAAAGGCTGCGCTAGAGGTATCTTTAAGGGCCCTTCTCATTCTCAGTCTGTGGCTCTGGAGCACTTAGACTAGAGAGGAAGACGGAAAAGAACAGCTAACCTGTCAGTAGTTGATGGAGTATTTGTCATGCGCCAGGCACTGCTCTAAGCTCTTCCTGTATATTAATCCAATTAACCTTCTCAGCAACTCTCAGGTAGGCTCTAATACCCATTTTATAGATAAGGCAACTGAAGCATGTAGAAGCTAATGCCTAAGTCACTTAACCCGTTAAGTGCTGGAGTTGGGATTTGAACCCAGCCAGCCTGGTACAGAGTCCCCACTCAACCACTGAACTATAGGCAAATATAAAGCATCATAGGCCAAGCCCCGGTAAGCAGGTCCATTCTTGGAGAAGGCAAGGAAGAGTTCATATTGCCTCCAGCATTCATTATTACCACCCACTCCCACTTCCTCCCCACTTGGCCCTCGACCCCCCACCAAGTCCTTTTCTTCCTAATTAGACAGCAGCGCCCCCCAGCCCTGCACCCTTACCCAACTGAAAACCCTGCCCTTAGTCAAGGCCACAGGCTTGGGCTTAGACAGCCAATGGCTCCATGCTCGGCCCAGCCCACTTTGCAAATTCAAGGGCTCGGCCTCACCACTGCTGGCTATACCCCCAGCTTGGCCTCCGCCCCAGGTTAGAGCCCTGCCTGGTAGGCTCAGGTGGAACCGATCACCGTCATGCAATAATCCTTCCCTGTGCACCTACTGTGTGCCCAGGCCCAGTGTTCAGAGAAGGATATGAACGAGCTATACCCCTGACCTCCAGGCGTCCCCCGTCCAGCAAGGAAAATCAGTCTGTAAACAGATCTCCAGGATACGCTGTGAGCAGTGCTAAAATTAGAGGTGTGTCCCTAATGGGCTGAGGTAGCATGTGTCAGAATGATTCACCCTTCGTGGTGGGAAGCGGAGGTTCTAAGTGCCTCTGGGTGAGTTCACTTCTCACGGAGACAGCCCAGTGACATACTGGAAGCAGCAAGGAGCGCTAGACTGAGGATGCCAGATCTGCTGAGTGGCCCTGAAACACAACCTCTTGAAAACAAGAGGGCCCCTGAGTGCGGGGCAGGAGATCACTACAGGGGTTCGGGGTCACATTCGCACTGACTCACAAGCCGAGAAGTTCTCCTTGTTCAATTCCCTTCTGACCCCTCCGATCGCATCAAGGAGCAAGTCTCAGCTTGGGTACCAGTTTGTCTTTAAGCCGCTTAAGCACCTGCCAGCCTGCCTTTTGAACAGGGAAGGTGGGCGTCAGGGTCACCAGCCTTCAGCAACCACAAAACATGTTGCTAGGACTTTTATTTTCCCTGTGCTATATTTACTTTAACCATTGCCTGCTATTTATGATAAGGCATATTGGTTTCCCATTGGCCATAGTGATAGAAAGCCTCCTTTTAAACAGAAATTTGAGTTCTAAAAGCAAGTCAGTTTAAAGAAACATATTAAGAAAATAACATTATAATTGGTATAACCTCTATATTTAACAACATCGAAATTTAAAATGCACATATAAAAGCAGGCAGGCCGGGCGCGGTGGCTCAAGCCTGTAATCCTAGCACTCTGGGAGGCCGAGGCGGGCGGATTGCTCGAGGTCAGGAGTTCGAAACCAGCCTGAGCAAGAGCGAGACCCCGTCTCTACTATAAATAGAAAGAAATTAATTGGCCAACTAATATATATATATATATAAAAAAAAATTAGCCGGGCGTGGTGGCACATGCCTGTAGTCCCAGCTACTCGGGAGGCTGAGGCAGAAGGATTGCTTGAGCCCAGGAGTTTGAGGTTGCTGTGAGCTAGGCTGACGCCACGGCACTCACTCTAGCCTGTGCAACAAAGCGAGACTCTGTCTCAAAAAAAATAAATAAATAAATAAAAAAAAATAAAAGCAGGCAAAGCTGTTCTGTGCTGCAGGATGGTCCAACAGCGATTACCCCTGTAGGGAAGGGGTAGTGACTGGAGGAGAACTTGAAGGAAGGGGCTTCTGGCTTCCTCCATCCGTTCTGTTGGTTGATCTGGGGGCTGACTGTACAGGTGTGTTCACTTAGTGACAACTCATCAAGCTGTGTAGGTGCATTTCTGTGTGTATGTTATACATTCATATCCCCTTTAACCCAGCAATTCCACTTCCAGATAACACCCTGCAAACTTACATACACATGCAAATGACACACTCAAAGATACTCACTGTACCACTGTTCCCAGTAACAAAAGGCTGGAAAACAACCTAAGCAGAAGGATTAAATTTTGGCACAGCCTAGAGTGAAGCCTATGCAGCCATCAAACAGAACGAGGCAGCCCCTGGAAGATATCCATAATCCGTGTGGATTTAAAAAGTGAAAAAGTTCTATGTATAGTGTGCTACCAATGTGAAAAACATATATCTTATAAATCTACATGTTTGTGCCTAGGGTACCCTTTGCCTAGGACTGTGGTCCCCAACCCCCAGCCACAGCCTGGTACCAGTCCGTGGCCTATTAGGAACTGGGCCACACATCACCTCCTGAGCTCCGTGCTCCCCTGTCCCCATCCGTGGAAAAATTGTCTTTCATCATTAACTGGGCATCGTGGCATGCAACCTGTAGTCCCAGCTATTTGGGAGGCTGAGGCAAGAAGACTGCTTGAGCCCAGGAGTTTGAGGTTGCAGTGAGCTATGATGACGATACTGCACTCTACCCAGGATGACAGAGTGAGACTTTGTCTCAAAAAAAAAAACCAAAAAATTGTTTTCCATAAAACTTAGGAACTAGGGGCCACACAGCAGGAGGTGAGCGACCCCGGAGTAAAGCTTCATCTGTATTTACAGCCGCCCCCCATGGCTCGCATCACTGACTGAGCTCTGCCTCCCTCTGCCCTTTGTCCATGGAAAAACTGTCTTTTATGAAACCAGTTCCTGGTGCCAAAAAGGTTGGGGACCGCTGGCCTAGGAGATCTCATAAAATAATCACAGGAAACTGATAACAGAGGTCTCTTGTGGACAGGGCAGGGGAAGTCTCCTCAGTGAAAACTACCCTTTTCTTGTACCATGCCCATGTATTTCCTATCAATAATAATTTTTAAAGCAAAAAGTCTTAAAGTGCATGGCTGTGATGAAACTTACGACCCCCTTCAGACCCAAAGACTGAGATGCAAGTGTCAGCACTTTGGGCTTTTAAAGCAAGTAACCCTTGCCCCACCCCCACCACCCAAGGGATGGCATCAGCGATAATGGGCTTTCCAGTAAATGGTTTCCAATTAACAGCACACCCAGGCCAGGACAAATTACTTACTTACGCTGGGCCTCCGCCCTGCAGTCAAACTCTGGCACCTGGAGCTGCCCTGTCAGGGCTGGCAGGTGGCTGAGTTCTTGGCATGTGTGGGGAGATTTTTAAGCAGAAATACTTCCAGGGATAGGAGTCAAGGATTTGGTAAGGAAACCTCAGTTGGCAGAGGAAGGATTCCAAGTCCTGAGTCCTGCCCTGTGCAAGAGAAGCAAAGCAAGGGCCACAGGACAGGCTTTTCTGGGGCCTGCAGCGGACAGCAATAGAACAGAGCCTCGAAATTTTGAGTTAGGTTTGATTTAACCACACAATTTACCTTTGGAAAGCTCATTCTCTCCACTTATCACTAATCCTAAAAACAATTCAGTGAGGTGAAGGGCAAGGTATCACTTACCCACTTTACAGATGATAAAATGGAGTTGTGGGAAGGTTAAGAGGGCATTGGTTGAGTTTATGGTAGTTGAAAAATAAATTGAAATAAAATAAAAATTTAAAAAAAAGAGAGAGAGGGGCCGGGTGTGGGGGCTCACGCCTGTAATCCTAGCACTCTGGGAGACCGAAGTGGGAGGATCGTTTGAGCTCAAGAGTTCAAGACCAGCCTGAGCAAGAGTGAGACCATGTCTCTACTAAAAACAACTAAAAAAATATATAGAAAATAAATTAGCCAGGCATGGTGGCGCATGCCTGTAGTCCCAGCTACTTGGGAGGCTGAGGCAGAAGGATTGCTTGAGCCCAGGAGTTTGAGGGCGCTGTGAGCTAGGCTGACGCCACGGCACTCACTCTAGCACTGGCAACAGAGTGAGACTGTCTCAAAAAAAAAAAAAAAAAGAGCGAGACAGGGCAGTGATTACACGTCAAGGGAAGGGGTGAAGCCAGAGATGTAATCCCACCTTCCTACGTCTCCACCCATCGACCTGAGGCTCTCCTCTTCCAACTCTGACCAATAGAGAGAAAAGCTCACCAGGCCAGAAGAGGGGCAGGTAAAGGACCCCTGGGAACCTACAGAACCTATGGGCCCATCTAGAGCAGGAATTTTCAATTCTGACTGCACACTAGAG